CCCCAAAACCCCAAAACCCCAAAACCCCGAATAGAAAAATAAAAATTGAAATTTTAAGTATAAGCACTATACTTCGATGTATTATCAAGTAGCTCTCTGAGTGGCGATTCTGGGCGTTTGAAATGGAAGTTCTTAAGGGTCTTTCGTAGCATTGAAATGCTTGATTTTCAAGTGGAGTATTCTTTCTAAGAAGGTGAGATAGAGGGATTACAGAGATTGATTGGAGAGAGCTGTTTAGGTTATTTTCAGCTTAAACGGAGGTGTTTGAAGGTAAGATTTTGAGGTTTGAACGATTTCATGTTTTGGGGGTGCTTTAGAGAGGGTTTGAGGTGTTTTATGGGTTTGGAAACGAGTTTTAGGTTTATTGGTGTTCTTGAGATTTTTATGTCATTTTTGTATGAAGTGGAGTTTTGGTGTTTTTGTAGATAGTTCATCTTGAATAACGGCTTTTTTCTTTAACTATCAAGCTAGTTTCTTTCCCAGCCTGTGCTTTATTCTTCCGTTTATTTTTCTTTTCATTAAGACCTCTCTTCGGCTTCTTCTATATACCAAATCCCTCTTACCATGCTCTTGGAAAATTTATTCATTTTATTTTAAGCTCATTAGTAACTTTCTGTTGAACAAAGCTGTGTCATTATTCTTGTTATTATTGCCGATAATATTCTTTTCTCTCCTGAGTTTATTTCTCTGTAATCTTATCATTTCTGCACAGGAATTCTAGGAACAACTTTCGCTTGCTAAGTGATTAGCTGGTTATGTTACCTTTGAGAGTTTGAATTCCCTCTGTACTTGCTCTCTCTGTGAAGCAATCAATAGCATTTTCCGTTCTTGTCTAAATTACACCGAAATATTTGTAGATTAGCCTGCGAGCTTTTCTTGTCTGTGCCTGGAGCAGTAAATTTTCTCCTTCCTAGTGATTAAGCAATGGACTTACCAAAACCTCTTGAATGAATATCATGGGAGGTGCCTACTCTAGAGAAAATTGTACTTGAACTCTCATAAACTATCTTTGGATGATAATCATTGTGATTAAATGGAGCAATTCTTCCATCAAGAGGATATACTGTCTGAAGACTCTGTTTTTGCTCTGTTTTGTTTTTCTCTCTCTTCTTAACATCAAAATGTATCTTTTTATCAATCTTTTCAAATAGCATCTTTGAGGAGGGGTTAATTGGTCTCTTCATCAACTATAATATTCAATATTATATTGTTGATGAGGGGTTTTGGGGTTTTGGGGTTTTGGGG